AGCCCGACTGAAAAAATCGCTAGCCCCGGGACGTCGGGCTAGCGATATTGCAAGCCCTGTATCTGATTGAGGAATCACTCATCTTTGGAAAAGAGTTTATTACAGAGAAATGGCTCTTTCCAAAATAAAAGCTATACTATCCGCTTCTTCTGGGCTATATTCTCAGCAGCATAAGGAGAATCATGTGCTAACAGCTGTCTAAATGACTGATAAAGTTTGTAGCATGCTTGTTGTTTTTGTCTTTGCACTAGGATGATGTCGGCGTAAATGTGCAGTCATATTCGTTGTGTTCCCACTAGTGCTTTCAGGTTAACCTCGTTAAAATGACCTTAACGCCACAACACGGCAAATCTCCGTTAACGAGCTACCGCCGTTCGCCCCGTGCATGGGGCTAGACAGCCAACACGTTAACGAGCTAACTGCGCTAACACACTAGCTCCCACCCATGTAATTAAGCATTGCTGGCACATCCAACATACTGTTTTACTTTAGTCCATGACTCGCTTACCTTCAGGGTCATACGTCACATGAAAACCAAAATAATTCCAAAGGCCAGATCTGAATGAGGGTGGGGGAGGTGCCCTGCGCTCTTCCTTCTGACTATGCTGTCTGTGTGGAGCGCTCAGTGGATCTGCGCTCGACAGTGCAGCCTAGGCGGAGTAGTCGAACGCAGATTCACTGAGCGCTCCACACAGACAGCATCGTCAGAAGGAAAGTAGATAAAATAAATTACAAATGTTGTATTGTTCGCTACATATGGGTACCGAACCGAAAGCACTGTATCGAACGGTTCAATATTGATACGAATATCGTTGCACCCCTACTTCTTATATACTGTGCATTAGATGGAGGGATTGTACAGGGTGATATCCACAGGCAGGAGTGATTTCCAGTGTAGTTCAGTGGTGCATTTGGGTAATCTCAACCTGTCACTGGATGTGCTCCTGTGACTGGCCAGCACGTCTTGGAATGGGTGGGAGGTTTTGTCCAGCATTGTCCTTATCTTGGACAACATCCGGCTCTCCAACATCACCTTCCAGCTACGTCCCCACAATGTTACTGGTCTTATTGTTGGTGCCCTCAACCTGCTGCCCCAGCATGCAACAGCATAGAGTGGCTTCATGAAGTGTGTCATGAAATGATGGTTCCCACATTTCATCTTTTATCCCCACGTTGTTGTCGTCTGCTCTGCTATGTTCTACACTTATTTCAATAACTTGATCAATAATCAGCGACTACTCAAGAGCACAGTGAAGTTTAAAAAGTCCATGCAGCTGTAAGGTCGCTGTTCGCTGCTCAGTTGAACCGTCAAATGTACAAAAATGTATGATTGCGGAATTTGTATAAAATAGTTGTACAGATGTTGGGAGTCGGTGTCATAGGCATTTGTTTTAGTGTCATTCATTCCACTTGTTTAGGAGACGTGGTACATGCAAACATACATGTGCTAAATCATTTCAGTGTGATGATGATGATTCATACTAAGCTGCTTAAATAGTTACAGAGACAAATGTGAAGGCAAGTAAAAACCCACCAATGTTATCACAGTGAAAATGGCTAATGTTTTTCATCTGTAGCATTAAAATTCTAAGTCAGAGTATAATCGGTCCATCAAAATGGTCTCAGAAACACACTATATATGCCTTTGATAGCTGGCTTGAAAAAACATCCTGCTTTTCTTAATAACAGCGTTCTGTTGAGGGGAACTCGTTCGGTTCAGAGGTCCTAGGAAGAAAAATAACACATTTGATGCGTACATCCAAGAAATATTCAAAATATTGTTACACTGGTTACAGTAACTCTTGTTTCTTGTCCTCTTGTCATAGACAGAACAGTACAAAGGAAAGAGAGACCTGGACTCCTTCAAAGACTTTTTGGACAACCAGCTGAAGGCTGCACTCACCGAGGAGGAAAAGCAGGAGGAGCAGAAGGAGGAACCAAAGGCAAATGAGATCCCTGCTGAAGAGCCAGCTGAAGAGGAAGCAAAGGTGGGTGTTCACAACAGAGAGGTGTTGTACTCGGATAATATTTTGGTCTCCTCTTTTTTATTTCCTGTTTTGTATTTTTAAGTGGGGACATTTGTGTGCCCCGTTGAACTGGTGCTCAGAGACTTTAGATACACAGCAGCTGCACATTGCAGTGATCGTTGATGCATTCAGTGGGGTCCTGGCACTGTAGCTGTAAAGTTATTGTGATTCTTAAAGGGCTTGAATTGTGTATTTTTTACATTACACACACAGTGCACTTCTTCTGGATGCCATCACTGAGAATCTGCAGCACATGAGCAGCTGTTATTTCCTGTTGCAGTGAAACTGTTCAACACAACACATGTACACGCAGTAGTTACACTGTAGGTCTTTGAGCATGACACCCATTCAGATTCCAGTTAGGTGAGAGACTGGCAGCTAAATTATGCCAGGATTTTGCATATCTTTTATTAATGAGATGATGTGGGCATTACTGGGGAACATAACCTGTGCACACAATTCAGAAGCTCTCACTCCAGTAACAGAATAATAAATACAATAATGCAATAATGTCGTCATGGTGAGGAAAAACACGGATCCATATAATTCCAACTTGTATTCCTGTCCTCTTTCTGTCTGTAGTCCAGTGTTTTGGTCCTGAATGAGGACAACTTTGAGGAGACTGTAGCCAAAGGATTCACCTTCGTCAAATTCTACGCTCCATGGTGAGATTATTGTTTGACATCTTCCTTTATTGTGTGTTGTTAATGCCAAATGAATCATGACGCCTCAGAAATTAGTTCAAGTATTAAATAATGCTGAACCTTTGTCTGCAGGAGAGGGTTTAAAACTACTACGAGTAAGATGAGTCGGAGTGTATCATTTTTAAACAAATATACGTTAAGTACCTGCAGATGTCTGAAGTAATTATTGTTCTAGTGACTAAAGTGATTAAACTCCTGATTTAAAATGTTGGCAGCCAGTGTTTGAAACACAATTTGTCAGTCAGTGAGAGTGATGTCACTCTTGTGTTATCCTGCTGTCTAGGTGTGGTCACTGTAAGAATCTCGCTCCAACATGGGAAGATCTTTCCAAGAAGGAATTTCCTGGTTTTACTGATGTCAAGATTGCTAAAGTGGACTGCACTGTTGAGCGCACACTCTGCAACAAGTACTCTGTAAGTGAAATTCTGTCCAGGCACTGAATGCTTTGCACTCGGAGACTGTTTCTGGCGCACGTACCCTTCTGTGAGCTTTATATTTCTGCAAGATTAAATGTGTTACAGTGTATGCAATAAACTAAAGTGGTGGATTATATCAAAGACATAAAATTCTATAACTGCTACATATTTTAGATACTATGAAATAAAACCCTAAAGCAGATTTAACAGTCCTGGTGGTTGGTGCACACATGTTTTCAGCTTGGAGTGAAGCCATGGTTACCCAATGATGACAGTATGGTGATATTCTTTTTTTTTTTTTTTTTTCTGTTATCCAGGTGCGCGGTTACCCCACCTTGATCATCTTCAGAGCAGGGGAGCAGGGTGATGAGCATCACGGTGGGCGGGATTTGGAGAGCCTGCACGACTTTGTGATGAAGCAGGCACGAGACGAGCTGTAGATACAGGCTAGTCGGCGCTCTCTCTCTCTCTCTCCACAACTCTACTCGCTCACACTGCATATCTGGCTAATAGGACACCACCGTCTCTCCTACAAAAGCCAGACCCCTACTCTTCCCCCTCTCTGTCAGTCATCCAATGACAGGCTGGCGCATTCATCTTTTTTTGGTATTCAAGTGCAGAATCATTCGGTAAGAGTGTTTGGAAGGTGATCGTACTTCTCATTGCTCTTGCTCAACCTTAAACCACGTGGCGACTGGTTGGGCCTGAAGATGAAGTAATATGTGCGACGACCACTTTGCAAGCTCTGCTCAGAACCAGAACTTTTCACAAGAATACAAGAAATGTTAAAACAGTGGCACTAAAGTTTCTACCTGTTTGTTTTTTAAATGAAGTGTTTCTGACGTCTCTGCCATTTGACTTCTTTTTTCCCCGATGCTAATTTGTGTACATGAAATTTTTTTTTTTTTTAAATCATAAGCCATTAGTTTTCTATTACTGTCACTCACGAGGCTGTAAAAGTTTGTGACTCTCCAATGTGAAGCAGAGTGTTAAGTTGAGGGTGCTTCATAGTCATGCCAGTGATGGCCTGTCTGACTTAACTCTCAGGGAAGAAACCACACAGACTGGGAGGTGATGGAGAAGTCTGTGATTTTACTGAATCTGACAACTTTTTTTTTTCTGTTAATCAAGATTACCAGATCCTGACTGATTGTTTTAGTCTCAGTGATCGACCATCCCTTTCTACTTCTAGCATTGGGAGTGTTAGGCCTGGACCATGCTGCCCCATCACTCTGTTACTGATCTTTTGTGTTACTGCTTCTGTTTGGACAAGCCATCGTTGACGTGAAGTCTCCCCTAACATTATTAGGTGTCGATGTAAAAACATGAATGTTTGTATTCTTCAGGCCAGGTTTATCCTTCCTATGTTAGAAGGATTTGGACACAGAAGGGTCGCTCATCGTCTGCACTGAAAGGTCGAACTGCTGCTCAGGGTGAGCTCAACTCCCATCGTATCCACGTTCTCACCGTGATTTCCATCTATTCTTACTGAAGCGACAGCCTAAGTTGAAAACATTGTATCGGGATGATTTAGACCTTTGGACACCAGAGCCATCGGCCTGAGTAAAATAGACAATGAGGTTCTGATTACAGTTAATCATTGAAGTGGGCAGGAACTGGCAGCATTAAAATTCAACACAAATAATTTTCGGGGGGATTCGAAGGTGAAGCCTTAGTGAAAAAGCATTTGCAGTGTTTCAGTGCACCTTTCTGCAATTAACCGCCGTGTAAACTGCACCCACCTGTTAGGCAAATGCTCTTTGACCCAGGTTACGTGGAAAGCATGTGTTGTGTGAATGCAAGGCACCATTTATTGTTAAACCCAGGTACTCAAACAGTCTGAGACACAGCAGTTTTTTCTCAGTAAAAGTTTTTATGGATAGCACATGGTCTAAGCAACTCCAGTGACAAAGTCATGTTTTTTTGTTGTTGTTTTTTTCCTTTTCATGGGTTATAGTTTGTGCACAACCCACAGATTTTGTACAAAAGAGTGAATAATGGCAAAATGTAACATGAGATTTCGTAATAAATTTTTCTCAAAAATAACTTTGCATTTTCATTTTGCTCTTGCATCTCTGTTAATAACGTATGTGATATTTTTTTTTTTTAATAAAAGGTGCAATAAATAAGCTGAGAATGTACAAGTATTTACAAAAAAAAACTAAACATGATCACAAATGTAAACAGCAGCTTACCAGAGGTATATTTTGTAATGTATGATTGGTTAGGCACGTAAGGTATTCTGATTCTTACTGGTATTAGTTTTTCATTAAAATATGCTCTAAAAGTACTCATGTCATTTAAAGCTCACAGTTACATACTCTGTTGGGAAGACGTTGCCACGTGACAGGTGACAAATTAAAGGAAAAACCAGGCACTGCTTTTCAGCAAAACTGCTCGAATGCACGTTTATTTTTAATTCTTCAGCTCTCTAAAACTTAAAGAGGTGATTGATTGGTCGAAAATCTACCAACCTGGGTTGAGATCTGGTGACTTGAGGGCCACAGGCTCTATGAAAAGGGCAAAGCTGTTATCCTAGAAGCGGCCATTCCCTTCAAGATTTAACACAGAACAAACTGATCCCGCCAATGAATGCTTTAAAAGAATAGTACGAGATACCCCCACTGTGCAGGGTTTGAGCATTCAGGTTTTTCCATTAATTTGTCACCTGTCCATATCCGAACACAGTTTCACCCTCGGGGTTGAAAAAGCAACCGGCTAATTTCAGAACGCTGACACAAACCGTTCTGCGGGATGTTTTTTTTCTCTACTATTTCATGATGGGCTGTCAGGAGTGGAAGCGTTTGTTAACTTTATGAGAGCAGCGACATGGAAATGGCCATTTGTGGTATGTCCGAGGGATAAGGCTGTATTCTTCGGTTCTTTGGAGAAAAACATCAGTTTAGCCACAACATGCATCATGTTGAACCAGCCTGGTGAATCGCAGCTCAGCCCCAGCCTGGCAAATATTGACATGGAGGAGAGGAGGTGGTGGTGTCGGGGGGGATATTTGGAGCGGTCCACTGCTAAAATAGCCTGCGGTCACTTTGGTTAAGTCCATATTATATTTTTGGGAAGGCAAATATGGCTCGAGAAAAAAAACAGCAGAGGGGAGGAAGGAAATATGAGTGTGCTGACTCCAAAGTATCATTCAGTTTGTATTAGATGGTTTTGGTTAACAACATTTTGCACAGAAAAAAGAAAGTCGGGCTGATTCACACCACTTGGAAATATGACGGGGGTGTTAGCCCTGCAGTGTCATGTGCTGTAGGGAAGCTGTTCATTATCTGAGCCTCCTGCGAGAACTGATGCACCTTGCTCTTTTTTTCTATGTTGGAGAGAAGACGGGAAAGAAAGCAGCACTCTGACTGGTCCCACGACAGTTCAGTTTCACCCTCTCAGGGAGGGAGAAGGTGCAGTAGCCTCTCAGGCATTCATACACACACTTCAGTAAACACATAATATACAAACTTAAATGCTTAAATGCCTCCCCCCACACATACACACACAGTCATTCATTCAGTTGCAGACCCATGAAGAGAAGACCCCCGTCCACAGCTAACAGGAAGGGTGGTAGACAACTTGGTGGCTCAAGACTGGAACAAGGTGAAGTTGCCTATGGATGATCCACATGTGGTGGGGAATACTTGCTACTTGATATGTTAGCAGGCTTAACAATTATGGAAATGGAACATGGGAATGATCTTTCAGGCTGGACGTTCCTTTGCATGTTGAAGATTTGGGCGGGAATCCGGTGTCTACCTGAGGTCAACGTACACCCAACTTTGACTGAAGCACTACCAGTCTTCATCTGTCTGTCAGTGGCAGCCGCAGGCCCGCACCACCATGTTCTTGTATTTCTTCAGTATGACGTTGGAGTTGTCGTCGAAATAGAGCACTGAAATGGCGTGCAGCTTGGTGGGGGCGCAGCACGGCTTGGGTACGTTCTCGGGGTTCATCAGGTGCACCTGGAAATAATGAGAAAGACCTTCAGCCTCTTTATGTGTCACAAATCCCCCACACCCTCTTTCTATTATCAGAAAAAGTAGCAATTAGAAATGGATGATAAACTCACAAAGGACAGATTTAAAAATTGATTTTATTATATTTTTTAATCATGCCAAATGTCGGATTATTTGACATTTCTTTAATGGCCACTGGAGACTGGTTATAAAATCCCCAACCCCACGTGGCCCAACTTTACAGCAGATATTAAAATGGTTTGGACTCTCTCAGTAGCATCTAAATTAAATTGACTGTGTAGGGATGCTCTTCTTAGATCATTCAGTCACTAAAATTATATAAAGGTTGATTTAAGTGACAGGTAGACACAAATAAATGGAGGTATAGCCACTAGCTTTCTGCTAGCCCACACCTTGGCTCGAAGCGTACTCACAGCCCTTCCAATAAGGTTGTGCTTCAGTCTTAGTGAGTGAAAAGCTAATATTTGAATCATTCATTACTAAGCAATAACAAACATGTCTCTTTATCTGTCCACTGCACCTGTACAGCTTATAGATATAGATAGATAGCAACTTGCTAACCAAGCTGGCTATCATTAGCTGATAACATAGAACTCCACCCTCTCGTCTAAATATGGCTGACGTTATCAAGCTTGATTAGACAGTAGCAGTTATAAATGGTACAAACTGTACACGTACACATACCTGCTAATCTTTGTTTACCTATTATTGACAATCTCTTCCACAGTGTGTGTTTTGTCCCATCACCCCCAGCCTGGTTCTGCTGGTTTCTTTTTTATCAAAAAGGATGTTTTTCCTTCCCACTTTCACCAAGTGCTGGCTCATAGGGGTCAAGCCAAGGCGCAATGATTTCTCTGTATTATTATAAAGTGTCTTGATGGGACTGTTGCTGCGATTTGTTGCTATATAAATAAAACTGAATTGAAGTGAATTAAGTTACTAAAATGCTAGGATGGTACTCAAGGAGCAAAAACTAATCGGATGGTCTGTCCCGCACAGACTACATTAAAAATCCTCCCAAGCACCAACAAACATGTCAGAGTGGTCCAGAGATTCAGTAACTCCAATTAGTATCAGTAGAAGCTGCTTGGCTATACCGTCTATGCTGCCACGCTCCTAAATCCTGCATCCAATTGGGAGTTATGAAAACACAAGCTATCATCTGTACAGTTGTTTAGAACAGGGAAACTCTTCACAGAGACCAACTTTTTTTGAATAAGACTGTATAAATATATATATTTTTAATACCATAAACATTTTAACATGGAAGTCTATGGGGACTGATTCCATTTGAAGGCTGCTTCAAGTGGCCACTAGAAGAAGAGCAGTTACTCCATGTGTGGATGCACCTCATTTGTCTCTTTTATGTTTCGACCGTCCATGACAAGTAAATTTAATGGAGTTAACTGAGCTTCACAGAACTGTAACGCTTTATATTCACCGATATTTATAACCCTAAGAAGGCCACGGCGACTAGATTAAAAATACACTGTCGAAACACTCTCATATGCTCCTGTGCTTATTTTTAAAGGTCATTTAGACACACAATAGACCACTATTATATCTCGTTGCAGTGTTGCTACAATAATCCTAAATCCACAGGAAAAACTGTATGAGCACCACCACAAAGTTCTGGCAGACATAAGAGACGGGCCTAAAATGACTTCTTCTTCATTGTGTTAAGAATACACACATACTTAGTGCGGTAAACCGTAGTGGGATGGTCTTACCAGCGTCTGCACAATGGCGTGGTTGGTGGCATTCATGTGGGCATTAAGGGGGAAGGAGCATTCTCCATCACAGTAGTTGGCTGCGTAGCCGTCAGGAGCAATAATCCAGTCCTTAGAGAAACACGTGAAATCAGTTGGTTTTGGGATGAACAGAAATTAACAGTTTTGTTATTATTGGTTCAGTACAGCTTCACTTTCCATGTAACCCACCTGACTGCTGTTGGTAAATTCAGAGTTAACGTTCTCTCTGCGGACAAATCCACAGCGCTGTCTGTGAAATCACTCAGAGCTAATCCCTCTCCTCCTTCCTTCCTTCCACTCTTTCTGTCTTACTGTTTGACTCTGATGAGGTGTCGACAGGTTATCCCCCCACTCTAATTTGTGTTTTGATCTAGTTCATCTTCCTGTCAGTGTCAATCAACCGTCTGTCTTCACCTTTTCACTCTTCTGACAATCCCTTTCATTATTTCCAGCTCCCTTCCTCTGTCTGTGTGTGTGTGAATGATTGCTGGCAGTCTCCCTCTAGATGTCAGTGCTGTGTTAACAGCTGGTTGTATGTACCTCTGCCCTTCTCTTTTATTTCTTCCTCTGTATCTAAGTAAACACGCACACACACACTGTGATCTCCATTTAACCTTTTCTATGTCGCATCCTCTCGTTTCTAATGTGTACTGAGCAGTGTACTTTACAGAGTCATGCTGACAGGTTTCTTTCATTTACTACTTTATCGTGTAGAAAAACTGAGACGTGCTGTTGAAATTACACTTTTTTTCTTATGTTAAAGTATCTCGTGGAAAAAATAGTTATACTTTCCCACAATCTAAAGTGCCTTTCACATCCCTGCTCTGGGTGACGTCTGACTTCGAGGCCATGTATCTCACATCCCACCTCCCCTCGTCAGCTAACGGTTTACCTCCCCACCACCACCAGTGCATAAACTCTGGGGCGTTCATGCGACTCCACTCCATAATTTAGCTACTCATGCTCATTTTTTAAATATTAAGATATGACAATTTGTAGAAGGAAACCAGTCTGACAAGAGACGGCTACTTAATACACCTGATGGTGGCATCCTGCTTTTGCTAAGAGTTTAAAAAACACACAAATCCCCTATTATTCCAACAATCATATAATATATATAATACTATACTCTAGTATGCATAGTAGGAACACTGATTAGAATTAAAAAGTAGTCCTGACTAGACGACTGATGTATTAGGAAACTTTTAGGTGAAGCTTAAGGAGAAAATACCTGCCAGCCCAGCTCTCTGAAGCTGACGTACAGCTCGTGTCTTCTGCATGCTGTCTTCTGATCACTGCTGTTGTAGTCTGAAAGACAAAGAACAGAAACCATCAGGGTTCACATATTACCACGATCCTCTCCAGACACGGGGCCGCTCCACTTAGAATCATGATTAGCATCTGGCGTCGTTTTCCACATCGTTTGTGACCCTCAGCATGTGGAAAGTATGTCACAGCGCCATGATGATAAAACAAAGTGAAAGCCCTTTTCCTTGGGTAAATGATGTAAATATGTCCAGTGAAGTCCAGTGACACATTACATACTGAATCCGAGAGCAGAAGAATAACACAACACGCCTCGCGTAATGCACTGGGTGGAGAAACATGTGAGGGCGTAGACTGGAGCGCCGGCACAAGTGCTCATTACAGTGGTCGCTGCGCTGTACGTGCTTCACATTCATCTGCTGTCTAATGCACTTGAGCGCGTGCCTAATTGAATTCATTGGCAGTTACATATTATTTGGCACATGCAAACGCAGTGAAATAGTGACAAGTGTGTTTGTGGACTCTCCGCCCATCAGCTTGTCCTTAATCATCTGTGTTCGCCTCTGCGGCCGTACAGCAACGGCTCAGACAGTCTCAGGTATAGGTTTGGTTTTCAAACTAGAAGAGGTCATTGCTGCCATCGGTCACCGCACTGAAGTCAAGACGGTGACACAGATTTTCCACTTAGGTTTCAAGGTCTCCCTTTAGCTTATTTACTCTGTCCTTTCATGGCTTTGATTACATTTTCACAACTAACCTGTCTGTGAAACAGGCAAAGTGCTACACAGTGGCACTGGTCCCATGTTCTCGATGGTTCTATATGAGGCTCTATTTGAGGCAATTATGACTCTACAACCACACACACACACACACACACACACACACACACACACACAAGAGTAGCTTCTTTGAGCCCAAAACTGATTTTAATTGTAGTTAGTTGTTGGTCTGCACATCCATAATTATAAAACAGTTAACCAACTGTTTAGACTTTTGCTGAGGACCAGCCTTACAATCAAGCAGCAACCTCCAGGGCTGAGAAATAAAGCTAAGGTGCAATGCAAAGACTTGTAGTTCCTCTAATAGCCACTTGAGGCAACTCTAAAAGCATTTACAGTCTGGTATTAAATTTTTTTTTAAAAATCTCTTTTTACCACAGAGAAAACAGGAGATCAGAAATCAGTAGATGACATTATTGTTGCCATCTTCTATATACAGTCTGTGGCTAGAATAATATTGTGATTATAATAAAACAATAAAAACTTTCACAGGTTTGAATCTAAATGCGACTGACCCTCTCATCCAAAACGCAGTGTTGACTTTTTCCAGTCTGACTCTTAACCTGTCAGCTCATGCACACATAGTTATTTATCACCTACAGGCAAATATAAATAGGTGTCATAGAATAAAATAAACAATAGAATAAATCAACTCTCCATCCAAGAAACTGGCATTTTATAGATTTTCTTGCGTGTGTGTGTCTGTTTGTCTGTCTGTTTGAGAGTGAGTCACAAGGCAGTCGGGGATTTGTCACTCAGTCACAGCCACCACCCAGCCACTCACCTCACCAAGTCACCGACAGCAGCCTTGTTTAGTCAGCTGGAGTTGGAGGGAGACGCACACAGACATATATACAAACATATTTCGCTTATGTAATGCTAATTGATTTTGGTTCCTTACATCCATACGTCTATCATTCATTACAAGCGGCGCTTCCACTCGCAGTACGTACACATAGGCACTCACAGATGACCCGATGTTTATCTGTTTAACAGCCAAACCCACTTAGCTACTCATTAAAGCGGAGAGTTGTAATTTAAATTCACCAGAGTTGGTTGCATTACCATTTCATCATCAAATTAAATTTAATTCTGAACAGACTCGCTGACTGCACTGCCCAGACCCGAGTGTTTTAGCTGGCCTCGTCTCAAATACAAAAAGAGACACAGACAGGGAGAGGAAGAGCAAAGCTGGGTTTCCTGCTTGGATTCATCGCAGACCATAAAGATGAGGTGACAGAGAGAGACGCATGTGAGGCCTGGCACTGCCTGTGTTTAGTCTTCATGTTTCTACCAACTGTACCATAAATGTGCAGTTGTACTTTATATAAGGACATCTACCAAACGGCACCAAAATAACTGCAATAACAAGAAAGACATACCTATGATGGGTATTTCTAAGAAGTAAAAGGCAAATCAAGAGTAATCCAAGGCACTATTTTTGAGACACTGTGTCAAGACATAATTGCTTCCCTATATTTAACTGAAATAGTATGAAGATGACACAAAGGTAGGAAGAGATGATCTTGAAAAACACAAGCTCCCCGTTTGAAAAAACATCTGGACTGTGCTCCGTCACCTCTTCAATTTAATTCAATTTTATTTTTATAACGCCAAATCACAACAACAGTCACCTCTAGGTGCATGAAGCTGTAAGGTAAAGACCTACAATAACACAGATAAAGCCTAACGATCAGGTGGCCTTCTTTGATCTAGCACTTGGTGACAGTGGGAAGGAAAAACTCCCTTTTAACAGGATGAAACAGCAACCTAAGCCTATGGCAGCATGAATAAAGAAGCCAGCAGTGTGAGAGCAAAGAGCTCTATTGGGGTGATAGTCTTCTTCTTATCAGCACTATGTAAATGTTTGGGGAATGAAAGGAAAATTGTTGTTTGCTCTCACTCTTTTGTCATCAGACTTTCTGTGACAGCACGTCTGGATGGCAACATATGTTGCTCCCGATCAGTGCTAACAGAGTCGTCACAAGATGCATCTCCAAACTATCTGCCTCCCCTCTCCTATTCAGCTCAGAGGAAACTGTGTCTATGATTCACCTCATCTTACATGAACTTGGACGCATAAAACATCAAAGCTGGTTCTTCACAGCGCCACCTGTGGGATCTTTCTAATGACTGAATGCACCACAGTTTGATGTTGGAAACTGTTCAACTATTTATCCACACAGTCTCTCACAGACCGGTGAATCTCTCCTCATCTTTCCTCCATAATTTATCAGCCTCACTGGAATGCTCGTTTTAAGCCCAATCATGTTACTAATCAGCCTAATTAGTCCTGAGACGTGTTCCACCAGGTGGTTTTTTTGCACAACTTTTCCAGTCTCTGTGTGCCTTCTTTCCAACTTTTTATAAAAACATGTTACTGGCATCAAAATCAAAATTAGCATACAACACTCAAAGCTTTAGAAGTATTTGTACTGCACAAAGGTATAAAATGGTTTTCATCAATCTTTTCACAGCTTTGCAACTTTTTTGGAAACAAGGCTGGAAATTCGATGAATATTTCATCTGACTAGACGAGTTCACTCTGTGAGAAGAAACAAAAGGTACCACTGGCCATGACAGTCAGCGGCATAGTGAGGTCAAAGGGTCATGTGTAATGGTCAGTCAGGATGCGGTCAGGTGTTTCCCTCGTTTAGGCTTCCTTCCTTTCCGGTAGGAAGGGCAGCTCGCGGCATGTCTGCTAATGTGGAAATAAGTTATAAGTTTACATGTCTGTGCAGTCAATGGTACATCTCCATGTGCGCGTGTGTCTCTGTGTACCTCTGCATATGTGCAAATGTTTTTCTCAGCATTCAGGCATGCACATTTGGCTCCGTGTGAAACTGTGTGTGCAGGTTTGCACGCATCCATCCTGCCTTCAAACTGAACTAGTTAGAACTGTACATGGACAATACCAATACCTTTTTAACTGAGAATCGGTCACAGCACAGTGTACAGTGTTTATATACAGGAAACAGCCAAGGATAATGGAAGAGTACCATTGAAAGAAGAAATCTGATTGGCTATGAAACTTGGCTGACCTGATACAAAGCTGAGGTGATGTTTATAGAAAGAGAAAACGACACACCTCTGAGCTGAACTGCTACCCTGCAGTACTGCAGGATGGCAGAGGTCTCAGGGTTAATATACAGAAACATACCAATGCATACTGGAATATATTTGTGTACTACTTAAGGCATTTCTGCAAATAGTGTAGCATATGCAATACTTTAAATAGTGAAAAACGCACTGTTTCTAAGTACACACGCACCCTTGTTATTACACAACCTCTCATAGAGACCCCCCTACTTCCTCATCCAGGTCGAGTTTATGATGCGTGACATTCAGCTTTGGGTCAAATCACAGCTCAGGGTGGAGGGTGAATGTAGCCCGCCTGCCCCCTCCACACAGCATGAGAGGCCTTCGCACAATCAACCAGTCTAGTGATGTCTAAAGTTTGATAATCTCATTTTATTCACTGCTCTCTAAGGTGACTGTATTTTAAATATGACCTTGAGGGTTAAAAAGATTGAAGTCTATATACTTTTGCTTGCTAGAATGATCTAATGTGCCACCAATTAGCTAGATAAACATCCTATGCAGTCAGACAGGCAGGTCAAAGGTTCAGTAAATCATAAGTAAATAAGTGTGGCTTTGCTGTGCAGTTCAGAGTATCATATTTAGCGACATGCTTCTTTTTCCCTCTTTCTCACTCATCTCCGCACAACTCCTTTTTCCCCCTCGGTCTTCAAAGCCATCAAACATTTACAGTCTGTGGGGCTTTTTAAGAGGAATAAAGCTGATATTTACTGCGGGCTTTCATTGAGTGTAAAGGCCCAGATTTGTGGTGCCCATAAACCACATCTCCCCTTCCTGCCTGTAAAAATTTAATGCCACACAGCTACCACTGAGCTCCGGCTCCCATGAGGCTTCCATTCATTTCTTTTTCCTTTCCTTGACAGAGAGCAGAGGTGAGAAGAGACAAAAACTGACTCAACGTGTTATACTTGCTGTATTAATTAAAAGCCTTAGAGTGTGTGTGAGTGCTACTGTAGAGTTTGACATTAAAGTAGTCGGTTTAACTAAAATACTGTAAAAATACAATCATTTAGAAGCTTTCCTCCACATAATATGGAGATGCTAAGCTACGCTGGTTAACTTAGCTTAGCATGAACACTGGAAGCGGGGAAAAAGCTAGCCTGGCCCTGTTGAAAGGCTAAAAGTTTGATGTGTAAGGTGAAGTCTGTTTATCCAAAGGTAGTG